TTTGTGATACCATGGCAGTATGAGTTATTAGACAAACTTGTGTCCCCTCAAACCCGGATTTTGCCTATGATTTCACACAAATAATTATTATATTTTTTTGGCTAACAAATAATTATTATACTCTTTTAGTCCTTAATATAAGATCCATTTAATTAATTTGATTAGATTAAGGAAGTTAGGTAAGTTAGTTAATTATAAAAAATGTGACACGTTTTTCCTAAAATACCATAATTATCTTTCTTAATACCTCCTCTTCCTCTTCTACTTGATTATAATTGAGGAGTGTCTATGGGGTAATTTAGAGAAAACTGACAAATATAAGAAATAGGTCTTATATTTAGGACCAAAATCAACTCAATAATTAAATCCTATATTAAGAACCAGAGGAGTATTACGCATATAATGACTGTATAATATATTTTGAACATAATAAAGTCCAAAGAATCTTATCAGATAATCAAATTCTTCATTAGTATAATTTTTTTGCCAACCATTAATATGATTGATTTACAACTATAGTGAAAGATTTGATAATTTCTCATATTATTACTCTGATCATAATATATTCGACTTTAAAATACATAAATCACTCCTATCAGTAAGATTTACTATTTAAAAAGTTTATCTTTTTGTTGAAAAAAATCCCATCTTTAATTTCTAAATCATAGATAGATAAAATGGTTTCCATTGAAGTGGAGAGATTCATATTTAGATGTGAAGTCAAAACTATCTAAGTCTATTGCATATATTAATATGATTAGAGGTATAAGGGGAGGGGGAATAAATTCCTTGTCTCCTTCTAACTAAATTTGTTTGATGAGTAATGAATTACTCTTCTTGTATTATTTATAAATCACTTCCAACATGTTTCACACAGATTAAAAAAAACTTTAAATTTCATTAACTCTCATTTAAAATTTTTGGCAACCCAAAAAAATGCTTTTGAAAAGCACATTTTCGCATATCAAGACAAAATTATCCACATATTTATTTCATATATCATAAAAGTGCTTTTAAAGCTATAGTTTTGTTTCTACCTAAACACCCCCTTAATAACTTTTCAACTTTATTCATATATCTCATGTAAACAAAGTCAACGTAATAATAAATGAAAGGTAAAATTATATATCTATATACAAAAAATTTTTCTTAGAGCCATGTAAATAGGATAAAAAATATATTTTCTCTCTGCCCTATAACTAAAAACAAGAGAGTATCATGGTATTAAAGACAATTGGTTAGTTAAACTTGTGAACCAATAAACCAGTTTTTAAGCCAGTTTAATCAAAAGTTTTGAACGGTCAAACCATATCATTTTGAGTTGTAAAAATGTAATAACAGTCCATTAGAGTTATGCTTGAATGACTGTGTTTTGTTGGATTATATATCGTTCATAAATGAAATAAAAAAAAATCTAACATATATTAGTCTAAATTTCTTAGACTCAAAAAGTAATTGACCTAAAGTTTAAGAGGGTCTAGCATATTACGATCTAAATTTCTTAATCCATGTCAATTACCACATTATCTTCATTACTCCGATGTGATGGCTTCTCTCTCAATAATTTAATAGCAAAAGTAACGACGAGAAATGCAATGACCAAAACTAAAACTTTCAAAAGGTTAAATTTAAATTTTAAAATATTAGGAAAATTATATGTAATTGACATAAAATTTAGGAAGGTTTTGTAAATTTTAATTTTAAGTATTACTCCTCACATCCTTAATATAAGACGTATTTAACTAATTTGATTAGATTAAGAAAGTTAGGTAAGTTAGTTAATTATAAAAAATATGACATGTTTTTCCTAAAATACCATAATAATATTTCTTAATATCCTTCCTCATTCACTTACTTGATTATGGTTGATAGAGCATTCATAAAGGTAATTTTAAAAAATTACTAAATATGAGAAATAGGTCTTATATTTAGAATCAAAATTAACTTAACAATTAAATCCTATATTAAGGATCGGATGAATATTCTTTTTAGGAGTTAGGTTCTTTTTATAAATATTTTCATATATTTTAATTAAATTACAATATTTTAATTCTGATTATGTTGACCCAAATTTAATCATAATTAAATCACTCACCTCCTAGTCATTATCTCAGCCAATTTAATAGCCCATCCCACTTTCATTACCTTGGTAATTAGAGCACATACAATATTAGGTCTGTTTTGATCAGTGATTAAAAAAGTAGCATATTGAAAAAATAACTTATGAAGAAGTAAAATTGGCTAAAAGCTAAATTGGATAAGCTGAATTGTGTTTAGATTGGAGTTTATAAAAGCTAGTTTGTAAAAGTGAGATTGGTAAAAGGTTATTTGGATTATGGTTGAGTAAAAGTAAGTTTGGTTGTAAAATGACCAAAATAGATATGAGTTTTAATAAATAATGAAACATGATTAAAAAAAAATAATTTCACATAATACAATGAAATTAAAATAATTTAATATGAATAAGTCATAAAAAATATTTTAAATATAAATGGAAACATGAAAAAATAAAAAGTATATTTTTAGGAGCATATTTAAAAATAAAAGTATATTTCTAACTTATTCATTATTTTCAACTAATTTTAACTGATTTTTTATTATCTACAAATTAGTAATTTGAGGCTTATAATAAAAACCAAAAGAGGTAATAAATTTTTTAACTTTTTCTCTCTCCATATTTCAAAAGTGATAAGTTATAAGCTGTTAATTTTAGTTTATAGTTTATTGTAGCTTTTCATACAGAAGCCAGATTGCCCAATTGCTCAACCAAATAGCATCAAAATTTGCAATCGAGCTTTTCTGGCTTATAAGCTGCTTATTGGCCTTGAAACCCTGTGCCAAACAAGCTGACTACATAGTAGGATTTATGATGAATCGTGAAAAGTTTTTTTTGCATAAAAAAATTTAAGTGAGATGAGTTCTGCAAGTTCATTGGAGCTATAGCATGTTTCTAAACTTCAAAAAATGCTTACAGAAGTATTAAGAAATTATTTATCAACAATATCCTTACATCAATAATGAAATTCAAACTACGATCTTAGTTTATGGGTTATGAGTTGAATGCTTACTAATTACCAGCTGAACCAACTATTCCTAGAAAAATAGTCAAGAAGTTGAAGTAGTGGTGCAGTAAGAAAGAGAAAGAAGAAGAAAAAATAAAATAAATAATCACCAACCACCCATTGGGTTAGACTCAGTTGCAATTTTCCAAATATGAGCGAAGATGTAGAGTTAAGGAAATTGGACATATGAATATGAGTGTGGGCCCGGTCTACGAGTGGAAAATTTAAAAAATAAAAAATGAAAAATGAACAAACAATAATGGGAAAGGTTGAGACTTGAAAGGATAAGGATGTCATTAGAGCCTTTTAGGGAAATAATAATAATAATAATAATCAATTGAAATTGGTAGGAAGGACTTTTCTAGAATATCATTGATAGCAACATCTTTGGAATAATTCCCTTTAAAGTGGCTTTCTTTAATCATCACTTTTCTCTTTTCAATGAATTATTCTTGTTCTATTATAGCGTCATTTCTGACAATTATACAATACTTGGACTGCTTTTCTTAGCTGATAAGTGCATTTATTTAATTCGGCCCCCAAAAAAATAAAATAAAATAATTAAATAATTAACTGTTTACATTTTTTGGTCTAAATTTCACAAAACTCCCATGTACCTTGAACCACAAATAACTCTCTTAACCTTTAATTATTTAATTCGACCACCTAATTTTTTTTTTAATTATGAGTAGGTAAATTCTAGCCATCAATTATATATATTTTTTTCTTCGTTATATTTTTGTGTACATATTACTCTTTCAAGTCTTGAGTTATTTGCATATAAACTCCTTAAATTTGAACATATGTGTATATAAGTAATAAATACAACTACTAGTATGGGATTTATTTGTATATATATAAAAGTTTAGGGGATTTTTTTTCAAATTTAAACCATTAAGAAAGTTATCTAAACATAATTTATAGTTGAGGAGAATCATGTAAAATTCCACTTCTTTTTTGGGAACATTTTCTGGTGTTCTTAATGACTAATAGGGCAACGCTGCCGACGCGCGAAGCAAAATCCCGGCCCATTAACACATAACTTGGCCCATTTGATGGGAAAGAAATTCAATTGCTTCTTGCCATTATTATTGCTATTTCATGAAAATTAAAATATGTAATATCATTGTATTTATATACAACCTGATTTTTTTCATCTACCAAGACTTAAATTAAAATTATAAGATTATAAATCGTCTCTTCATTGCTTAAAATAACCAATCATCGTCATTTGTCAGTGCAAACATATTTCAATGTATTAATAAAAAAGTTTTTAAGAAAAATAATAACATAGATACTCCATTCAGTCCTATAAGAAAAAATTTGGGCACACACAATCCTATTTAACTAATTTGATTATATCAAAAAATTTAGGTAAGTTAATTAATTACAAAAAATATAAAACATTTTTTCTAAATATCATAATCATATTCATTAATATCCTTTCCCCACTACTCCTTGATTATGATTAAATCAGTATCAATAGAGGTAATTTAAAAAAATTGATAAATATAGAAATATGTCTTATATTCAGGGCCGGGCCAAGATCAATCATACAATTAGGTCATACGTTAAGGATTAGGGAAGTATTAACTAATCACTCTTCACCTCTTTTTCTTGCTCATAATCTCTTTTTCATAAATAAGGATATTTTTTCAAAAAAATATATTGTAATGTATTTATTATTTTAAACCAATTTTAGCTATTTTTAAATTTTGTGCTTAAATTATTTGTATTAGTCATAAAAAAGACATTGGTTGAAACAAGGAAACAAGAACATAATAACAACTCAATATATTAGCTGAAAATTCAAGGACATAAATCGTCCAGCTAGGAATAAACATAGATAATAACAAAGAGTACTTTAAAAGCATCAAACAAACGATTAGATTAAACCAACACTAATTTCCTCAAAACAAAAGGCCCCCAATAGTTTAATCACGCCATGGCAGTACAATCCGTTGGCTTGAACGAAACAGTCTTCTTCTTCAGATCATATCCAACAAGAAAGTTCATCTGAGCAATGTTCCCAAAGATAGAACCAGAAGGATAACCCTTGAAGGCGAAGCAAACGACGTCGTCAGAGACCTGAACGAAGGAATTGAACGTATTCAACTTCACATCGCCACCTTTGAAATGAACAGTAATGGTGGGAGCTTCGAAGGAGTTATCTGATGAAGGCAATCTGTAACAAAGATTCAATAAATCTTCGGGAATCCTAACACGTTCCAGATTCATCTGTGATGCCACTTCTGATTCCAGGTTCGAGTATAAATCTGGGGGCAAAAGCGTCAATGTCGTTCCTGAATCAATGATTATGTTTCCCTCTGATACTGTTTCTGAACCTTCATGCATGCATGCAAAAAAAAACCCTAGTTAGTCTTTTCGTTTATATAAAGCCAATGAAATTCTTCAAAGACAATATAGTCGAGGAAAAAAATATATATAATAAACGATGTTTTAAGGTGTAATATATGATGTAAAAGAAAAGAAAATAAAACCAAAGTATCCAGTTGTGAATCACCAACATGAAATAATAAACCCTAATTATTCGTTGGTATTTATAAAACACAAAATATAAAATAATCATGCATGAACAAAGTTTTTCATGTCAGATGATAAATATAGCAATGAATAAATGAATTAAAACAGCAAATTTTGGAATCAATATTCATTGAAATATAGAACATAGAGAGATATGAAAACTGTTTTAAAATCCTCAGGATATTCAGAAAATGAACGAAAATAAAAAATAATATATAATATGTATATATAATGCCTAAGAGTAAGTTGAATCATCACCACCTGATGAAGGAAATTCGAATCTTTTGTCTCCGACGCTGATTCCTTCCAACGTAAGGAGATAGAAAGTGGAAGTTTGTCCATCAACTATCGGAGTAGACACAGTGCCTGGGCCCGAAACGACGGCGTTTTGACCGAAACTCAACTTGCTAGAGTTTTTCTCAGAAGACAGTGGAACCAAACAGTACGAGAATTTCCCATCAATGGAAGAACCAATCTGTGAGACCAACGAAACAGAACCTCCTCCAAGTCCAACAATCCCAGACGTCTTTTCATTGAATGTACCCTTGTTATTAAAGCCACATCCAAACACGGTCTTAGGGAATGCCACATGGCGGCCACTGGTTGAGCCAAGTGTGAGAGTTTCAATTGCTATGTCACCATTAGAGGCTGAGGAATCTGCATAGCGGGCGTTGTACTTACAGACATTCGAATCGTCGCATGTGGTCTGTCCTACGGCGGAGGAGCATTTTGGTGAAGAGCATGGAATCTTCTGGAAGGTTCTGGAATTCTTGGGGTCAAACAGAGGAGCTGTTTGGTTGTAACAGCCCTCACAGGGCTTACACTGAGTCCAAATAAGGTCACTGCCTGTGTCAGCGATTCCAAAGATCTCAAACGGCGGCGTTCCGACGGAATACGACATGACGTACTCGCCTCTGACGGAGACTACTTGGGACTCAACGGCGTCGTTTACTGACTGATCATGAGCTTCTGCGGGGAAGAAATGGTTGGCACGGGGCAAGGAACGGCGGATGGCCTCGTGGACGTGTTGGAACGGTGTCGTTTTGGGGGTGGAGAGTGGTGACTTTGGTGAGTCACGGTGGATGAGCTCGACGGTGAAGCCGCCATTGGAAGACGCAGAAGAGAAAGATGTGGTGAGGAAGAAGACGATGGAAAGAACAGAAAGACTTTCATAAGCTCTGGCCATGGTGGTTATGTGCTGGAGATGGGTGCAATGGAAATGAAGGACCAAGCGTTGGTTATATATAGCAATAATAGGAATCATGGAGGAGAAAATTAAGGGTTCTAAATTAATTACAAATCAATTTTGATTTTTCTTTTCAATATCCAATTATTTTATTTTTCTTTTCTAGGCTGATGTTACAATTTAATCAGTATCAAAGTAATTTATTGCACACATATATATGAGATATTTTTCAATTTTTTTTGCCAACAATATTGTTCAATTTATTACATAAGATATGTTTTACTTTTTATTTTTTAGCCATCCTTTACGCATATGGAAGAAACTCATTCGGCCAAAAACAAAAATATATGGAAGAATAAACTGAGACATCACCTATAAACATGGAGAGTTAAACGAGAAGAATGTCTCTATTAACTTCTCCCTCTACTTAATCTTTTTATCATTGGACTAACTTTTAGTGGTTGAGATTTAAAACTGAATAAAAATATTTTAAAACTATTTATGTAAAGTTTTAACTGTATAAAATTTATTTATCCACTTTTTATTATCTAATATTTAATATGTAATAATATTTATGTAAAATAAATCTCAGCCGTTGAAATTAGAACTAATGATGGAAACATTAAGTAAAAAAAGAAGTTGACGGAGACATTCTTCTGCTGCACTGAACTTATTATAACCCTACACTTAAGATCAAATATCTTTAAAATTAAATTCAGATTGTGCAGAGAAAATGCACATATATTGTGAATATAAATATTCTCGAAGAGATGCAAAGAATCTGGAGTGATGAAATACCAGTATGATTCGTTTTATATGGTGTTTCATTAATTGAAAAATTACGGAATCATTGGTTGGTGCATGATTTTTTACGTACCGTTCTGTTTTATTAGTCTTTTGGATTTAAACGTTCGCATTGGGTTCTCTTTTGAATTAGGTTCAGTTTATCACAATAAATTATTAGTTAATTAATAATTCATACCTGGCTAATTTTCCTCTTTCATCGTTAAATTCACAATAACCTGTCTCGTAAAGTCTGAAATCTGATTCATTTCAGCTTAGAGCAATAATATATCCCTCCGAATTTTTTCTTTCTGATCAGTAAATAACGGTGCAGATTAGTTTGAAATCTAGTAAAAAAATTTCTTTCTGATCAGTAAATAATGGTGCAGATTAGTTTTATCGGCCAGTTATGTATATACTTCTCCGGTCCTAAATATAAAACTCATTTGGTAGTGTAAAACTAATATGTACCATTATTTTGTAATTTACACTACAAAATGAGTCTTATATTTATGACCGGAGAAGCATATGCATAACTGGCTGATAAAACTAATCTGCACCATTATTTACTGATCAGAAAGAAAAAACTTTACTAGATGCATTTTAATCGTCATTTTTTGCTGGATGGTCTTAATTAACGGTAGTTATGCGTTTCAAAAGTAAGAATTTTTTTTTGGACCAGAAAAGAAAAATCGGGACATAATCTGAATCTTGCAGATTGGATATTACTAATTTGTGCACATATATATTAAGGCAGATTCTTTTTTTTTTTTTTTTGGGTCAAATTATGAAGGTAGATTCGAAAGTAGTATTTTGTTTTAATTCGTTTTTCCAAAATTAGAAATAATAAGTTGACTTCTTTTTAATTGTTTAAAACCTTCGTTGACTTTTTTTTTTTTTGATCACATTATGATTAGGGTTAGAAAATTTGGAAGGAAAAACTAATTAAAAAGGAAGGAAAAGCATGTAGATTGAATATTTTCTGTCTTGTTGATTGAAGAAAGAATATTTTCTGTTATAAATCCGAGATAAATTTGCATCTAAAATTTAATATCTTCGGTGAAAATAAAGCGAGTTTAGTGATGGAATCCTACCAGAATTAATTGTCCCAAGTTCTATCTATTTTGTAATTTTAATCAGGAGTAAGAAAAAAGTATTATTATACTAGTAAACATTTGGAATTTTTTTTGGCTGGAAAAAATTTATAGGTGGAAATATCTGTTTTAAAATTGTAGAAATTATATTTTATACAATCATTTAATTGTAATTTAATGATCATCAAAATATTTGTAAATTGATCTAATTTAGATAGTAGTGTGGATGTTATTATGTTTTTTTTTTTCAAGTTAAAACATACAAATACGTGAAAAAAAATAGTAACGCCAAAACAATTCAATTTAATTCTAGAGTGTCCAAATAAAATGCATATATTATAACTATCCTTAAAGAGATATGCAAAGAACCTGGAAACTATGATAATTGTAAATCCGTCTTAATTTATGGTGTTTTTATTTTTTTGGATAATTATTCCTTTTTGGTACTTAGTTGTAAGAATCAAATCAACGAGAAATACGAAAGCATTTTTTCTTAAAAATTATGGGATCATTGGTGCATGAATTTTCTAATATGTATGTATACCGTTCTGTTTCAGCTATAAACGTCGCTTGTCTTTGGAAAACGGGTCAGATTATAATAATTAACTATATTAATTAATAATTTTTGCCTAATAACCGGCCTCTTTGATCTCTTGTTAAATGCCCATTTTCTTGTCTCGTAAAATTTAAATACGATTTTCTTTTTGCCAATTGTAAAGTTTAAATATGACTCATGTCTCTGCTGGGAAAAAAAATTGATTCATGTCAGCTTATTAGTATTTAAATTTAATTAATAGTTTAAATATGTAATCTGATTCACATGGGACTAATAACGGTCCATTATGAGGTTAATTTAATTAACATCACAAGTGAACAATTAATTTAATCATAGTCTTTCAACACAATATTTTTGTGTGAACTCCTTGGGCAGCTAGTGGAAAGCATATGCGCTCTCAACGCCTTTCAGTGTTTTTTCTTTCAAGTTTTTAGTTTGAGCTCAAATGAAGAAACGTGCATTTCAGCTTATTAAAAAAACAGCAAATTAGTGACAGAATATCATTAACTAATTAGTGATAGTCTTTTTCACGATGGAATGTACAAATTCTGTCAAATTTTATAGCTAATTTGATTTTTTTTTTTATGTTACGTTGAATTTGTTGATCAACTTTATTTAGAGAGAGATAGTGATACGATTTAGAGAGATGATTAGCATAACATACTATCTATTTTCTTTTTGCCAATTGCAAAAGTTTACATATGACCATGTCTCTGCTGGGACAAAAAAAAAGATTCATGTCAGCTTATTAGCATGTGTGTGTATACATTTATAGCAAACAAGTCAGCTTATATGTTACTCCCACATACTTATAGAACAATACAAAAAAAGGAAAATTGTAATATTCCAGACAGGCATGCATGGGAACTTCATCGGCAATATCATATCATAATCCAGACAGGCATGCATGGGATCTTCATCGACAATACTAGAATAATCTAAGAATACTTCGAGATTCTCATACTACCTCCCATCTTTAATATAAGAGCTAATTAACTAATTTGAGTAAATTAAGAAAATTAATTAAGTTAATTATTTGCAATAAATATGTATTTTTTTAAAATATCATTGCTAATCAAGTGTATTAGCTAAAACTACCATTACTACAAGGACTATCGTGAAAAAAATAAATAAATATGAGAGATAAAGTAAATTTAGGTCTTATATTTAGGACTAAAATAAAAATTAAATCAACTCTTATATTAAAAACAAGACGTAGTATTTTGACGGTTATTATTATAAGTCTTTCTCCCAATTTTCTTTGACGTTATCTTTGAATGACTTAATGAAGTTCTATGAGAAATTTTCTTCCACTAATGATTGTTCATGGAAATCCACGAAGGGCCCTCACTCACACGCAAATTGATACGGTAACATTTTTTTAAAAAAATAAAAAAAACCTTTGTTTTATCTTGAAAGAAGTAGATACAAAATAAAAATGATTTTGCCACCTGAAACAATGCATAAAGAAATCAAAATGGTTTTTAATTATAAATTTTAAAACATGATGAATGATTAAAGTTCAGAGAGTTTTTGTATAGTTTAACCTTACTTTGGAAAAAAGAAAAATAGTCTTCACTTTAATAAATTCATTTAATACTCTTCTAGTTTAAAACTTTCTTAGTTTAATTTTTTTTAATAATAGGAGAAAACAAATAACTAAAAGTCTACATTGCTCAAACTAAAAGTACGAAACTCATTAGGATGAATAAAATGAAGTCCAGGCAGAAAAGACAAAGCTCGCTTTGCCACGAGGTCAGCTTGGTCGTTCTCCTCCCTTCTCCAATGGACAACTTCAACCAACCATTCTCTGAGTAGCAAATTTCTATTCTCCTAGATCAAGTCCCAGTTCTTATGTACTTCAGTATGAGCTTCCTTAATTAGCTGAATTGCTTCTAAGGAATCATTGAGCAGAAGAACCTTTCGGTGTCCCCCTTCCCATGCTCGCTTAAGTCCAATAAACCACGCCCACAGCTCGGCAACCAAAGGATCTCCATCAGGAAGACTAAGCATGAAAGCTTTGAGTACATTATTTCCAGGCCCCGTTATGAAGCCCCCACATCCTGCTTTACGACTCCTTTGCGAGAATGCCCCCTCCACTTGATCAATAATGCCACCATTGAACATCGTTGAGGGTTGCATCTCCGCTTGCTTAGAAGCTCCATGGAGGTTGATGTGGGCCAGGTGTAATTTAGCTTGATTGAAACTTTCAAAAATAGCTTTCGCCTTACTGATAAGGTCACAAGCATTACTGTCTTTTTTTTCCTTTTTTTTTTTTAATTGAAAAGAGGGCTAAAGCCTAGAAAAGAAATACCAACTAGCCTATATTATCTGAATTCATACCAGACATGCTTCCAAATGGTCACTTATGATCTTATCAGCTTCCAAGATCCGCCCAATATGAGGAGCAACATCTTCCACGTGTTCCCATCTTCCCTGTTTCTCAAAACTAAGATTGGCCAAGCTATCTGCGCACGTGTTCGTTTGTCTTCTTACTACTTGGATCCCAACCTCCCACCTTCTCACTAGCAAGCTATGAATATTTATGAATAAACAACTGCAGAACTCCTCCAGATCTATATCTCTTTTCAACTTCTTTGCCAGTTCTTCAAAATCAATTTCAAGCTCCAACCTTTTGACTCCAA